GTTGTACGAAGAGTAATCAGCTGTTGAACTTAAGCAACTGGTCCAGCGGCAGATGATCGCGACCATCAGTGACACACGTACGGAAGGCCCGTAACACAATGGCATGTGATTGCATACATGTGTGTGTTATTTTCCATGTTGCTAACGAAAGAATACTTGATATAACTTGATAAAACATTCATCATTCTGATTACTTACTGCATAACTTTTGACTCTCAGAACCTAGAAATTGAGGCGAACTCCTTTCCTGGGTGGATGGTAAGCTACGTGCATGGTAAATTGCTTGCCCGTCTCCGCGAACGGGCCAGTGATGAGGATAACAAACTCTATATCATTTGTTTACTGCTTTGTTTCGCGACCGATTACCAGTAAAGTTAATTGTTACCGAACCCAATGATTTCTATGAATATTCGATTAGTCCCCAGACATTGCAACATGAATTTAAAATAGCCTTGCTAACTTCTAAACGTTTATAGGCTCATACACTTAAATAGGGCCTTAAGCATACCAGTTCTGAGCAGATTATCCTTGTAAAACTAAAAGATTGCTTTTCTTTACTTAATGAAAGCACACAAACTTCTTTTGGCTGAATGTTACTTTCCTGGTAAGATTGCCTGTAATGTCATAAGTATGCCGGAGTTCAAAGAATCAAGCAATGAGTATCCCACAGTAGCTCACAGATATCTCTCAAAGATATAGGAAGCAAGTCAAGAGAGAGGCTGTTTTCGACATTAATATCTATAGCAGTTCAGTCCGGGGAGAAGTACACGTCCCATATGCTACCTGGTGTTATGCGGGCTTGTTTTCTCTTTGATTTGGTGACCAGAGCAGAGGTTTGGTAACACTGTGACGAAACCGATATTTTTACACAGATCGTTAACCTGGTATGCAAACGCTCACTTGCTCTCTCTTTACATCAGTATCCATTATCAGTGGCTTTCTCATCCTTTAAAAAACTAACTTGATGCCTTTTAGATAGGTCGGTATATTACGTGGTAAAATTTTGTGAACACTCTAGGCCATGAAGAGCGCGACTGTCATTGATATTTCCGTGGTAGAAGAATAATATTTATTCATGTGTGGCTAGAACAAAAGATAACGTCTCAGCTGTGTTTCAGACTTCATGGGACGATTCAGTAGAGCAGAAATTCCCATGTTGCTCGTGCTACCTTCACAAGCTCCGGTCTGCATGCATATTCGAATATAAACATTTTGTAAAGTCTGCACTACATCATTTTAACTACCACTTTCTGCACGCATTGCTATCGCAATCAAATTTTTAGTTAAGTTCGGGCTAAATGATCCATATATGTGCTATTTTTTTGCCATCAGGTTCGCGAGCATCGCGCGCCTGCGCTTCAACACAACAAGGTTCAGCTGCCTGTAATCCAAAATTCAATCAAACATGTTGCCGATCATCTCATGATGGTCTTGTGGCTCAAACGGATACACCAGAGTAACAAAGGCTTTGCGATAGCTTAAAAGATGACAAAGCGAAACTGATGCAGCCTCTTTCCACTGTAGTCATGTGACGAAGAAGGAATGCTCTTGGAGAGATTGCGGTTCGTTTTCTGACTGAAGAATACATTGGTGTGCCAATTCAGGAATTCCATACCTCGCCAGATAGAACAAAACCTTTTGAAGTTTCCCTTTACCGGCTGGTTCTACATTTCGGTACAGCTCCAAAATTTGATTGACAAATGGATAAAAAATTATACGGCAAATCTATTTCACCCTGGTTTTCCCCTACAACAACCACTCGTTCAAAGTAAAGGATGTTCCGCACTGGTCAGTAAAAACTGGTTCTGTAAATTTATTGTTGTGAACTTGCCAGAATGAGCTGCCATCTTGGTAGCAAATGACGAAGGAAGCCAGTTTACACGTCAAAAAGCAGACTGTCTTTGGTCTGAAATCAAATATCAAGCGCTACTTAGGGACACTCAAATTGCTGGAAAGGCTCAGGGTTACTACATTCACTAGTGCGTCTGGCATTTTGTCCCGTGGTTTTCGACCAGCCATGTTAGCCATCGAAGCACAGAATCGCACTTTAACAGTATGACAGCTTTAGTGTAAGTGCTAGCGCACGTCTCAATTGGAATATATATATATATATATATATATATATAGAGAGAGAGAGAGAGAGAGGGAGAAAGAGGGACCTGCGATCATTAGCCAGGTAGCTAATTACTTCATCGAGAAGTTCGTGAAACCATGACGGATTTATTAGAGCTGAGTTGTCTGATTAACGCACGATAAGGCAAGCAGCAAAATCCTCCCTCTAAACAGAGGTTCAAAAATGAGGCGCACGGGATCAGATTGCGTTTGTGACGGAAGAAAACTGGTACTGTAATGGAAGATACACTCGGACACTTTCCATGGGTGTTTTTGACATGTTCTCAGAGCTTTTCTCACCTCAGAGGTGTTTATGCAGGGTGAACGGCTGTGAGATGAATTCGAATCCAATAAAAAACTTGGTCTAACAAAGCCTAATGTAGCTGTAGCTCTGATACGCTCAGAGGCAGTTTTTACACCACTATGATCGCCTCTTCTGGGCTGGCCACGAGCTCGGATATCGTTGTGGTTGCCGGAACCTACGAGTATGCAAGTAGGTAGACTTAGTGCTGCTGAGGCTCATTCGGGTTGTCGTCTAGCTCTTGAATTGAGACGGATGTGAACGTCGGTTACATTTGTGTGCTGACTAGAGACCGTTTTTGTGAGGATATCGGAAGCTGTTTGGCCACAAGATGACCCTCGCAGACGACTCAGCCTTCAACAAAGATAGACCACATGGCCATTATTTATAGGTAGTATGGGTCAATTAATGAATGTCGCTCTTTCTAGAATATCTTTGTGGATTCTTATCAGGGGTGTGCTAGATGCGTACACATCACCTGGCTAGTGAGAAGCTCTCGGCCCCCGACGTAAAACAAGTCTGCCCAAACAATCTACTGAAGTCTCTTTCGGACAAAATGCCTCCTGATTTTGGCGTACTCTCCGCAAACCTGCAAGAAGCTGGGTGCTTCGCTTGTGGATTGGTTCAACCAACCAACTAGACTCAGGCACTGGATCTTGAGCAACAGTCTAAAATTGTTCGAAGCTCAGAAGTGTCTCAATTTTAAACAAGGGTACAATACCCCTCGACAAACTGTCAGACTTGAAGTGCAAAAGGGTACATTTGCGGATAGAGGACCTTAGTGGATACAGAAAGCTAGAACTGCAGAAAGCGAGAAACCCTGAGAATGTGCACAAACCATTCCACTCGACACGCGCAACGGGCCAAAAGGAACATCCGGTGAGCAAAATCTTGCAGATAACAGCGAATTGCTTATCTGAGAAAATAAAGAATGCCTAAATAGTTGGGCCGAACGCTTTTGGACCAGTCCGACTGGCCATCTGCATTTGCTAAGCCGGATATCCAACCGGCATCACAGTATTGAACAGTGAACTTGGAACCGTCGGCTGCTTCGGAATAAAGCGAATGCCTTTTGTCCCTCAAGCACTGCAGAGAGGCTGGTCCTGACGAACTGCCACCTACTCCGTTCAAAGGAGAGGTGAAATCCCCAGTCGGTGGTTGTTCAACTTATCCCCCTCTAGCTGGGGAAAAGAGACTGTCCCAATTAACTATGGGCGAGTAGATATTGGTGCCCGTTTTCAAGAAGGGTGTTTGCAGTTCGTTTGGCATCACACAGGACTCAACCTGACCCCCACTGTAATCAAACTTTTTGCCTCTCTTATTTTACGTCTTACAGAGGTGCGTGGAGACGAGATCCTTGGACAGTGAGCTTGATTTCGGCTGAAAAGGTGCTGCCCGGACCACATCTACACTCAATCAAGTGTTACAGCAAATGCGTGTAGACGCCCTACAATCTTGGTACCCCTTGACTTCAAGAGTACGTTCGATTCTTCCAACCGACTGGTTCTTTTACACGCCTGCGAAAATGATTACGTCCCAGAAGTACGTCCATATCATTCGCTGTTTGTTGTTACATGAGAGTATACGGGAAGTTCTCCAAAAACCTTGTTACGTATAGCAATGTTCGACGAAGATATCCACTCTCTCCATTTCGTCCAATATTTATACTGGTGAGCTAATGAGGTGAACACCGGAGAGTCTCCAAAGCCCCGGTGTTTGGAGCTGTCCATGCGAAAATCTTGTCAACCTGGAATACGTGGACGAAACTTTTCTCCTTTTTAAAGATCAGCAACCGCAAATATCACTTGAAAAGACCTACTAAGACCATCCAGTTCTTTGGCATGTGCTTCGCTCACAAAAGTGAAAAGTCATGCTGCAGGACCTGTGATCTTCAAACATGCCTCTGAAAATTTAGTGACACTGGAGATTGTGGAGCGCGATACATATTTCAGAAGTTGTGTTAGCTATGACTGTAGTGTGGCGGATGGAGTGAACGCACGAATTTCGAAGACCGGAAATGCGTTTGTCAATTTGCGTCACTTGTAGCGTCAAAAAATCAGTTCGCTAGATCTTGAAGGACCCTCGTATCAGACCACAGTTTCGAAGACCGAAATGCGTTTGTCAATTTGCGTCACTTGTAGCGTCAAAAAATCAGTTCGCTAGATCTTGAAGGACCCTCGTATCAGACCACAGTACGGGTTGTCTTTTGTACAGCCGCGAGACTTGGTCACATAGGGCGGAAGATTTGAGACATCTTTAGGTCTCTGATCACCGTTGTCTCAGAAATACAACTGAAATCCACTCACCCAAACTACCAATATTTCAACAAAGTACCTACACCTGGAATCGTGTGGAACCGGCGATTTCGATATGAGGTGATCAGGAGAAGGTTTTTTTCTGACATATGGAGTACTAAAATTGAATAATACATTCAGGACTGTAAGCCAAGTTGGCCAAGCCATGTGTTGCTCAGTTACTGCTTACCGAGGCGAGCGCCAGTTGCTTTCCCACGTCCGAGTGGAGGGGAACCTTGAGATGGACAGAAGTGGACAGGCAGAATCAAATGAAGAAAGTTCCTAAAAGGGTGGGTCTATTCGCTTGCAAGGATGTGGCCCACCTGATCATCCTGTGTTTGTCTGGAGACGCTCCATGTACAGCGGCTGACTGGTGCCAGTGATGTCCGTACTGTTAATTTCTATCCAGATTGTTTAACTGAATGTTGGAGGTTCATGCACCTCGGATATTTGTGGTAGGTTAGCCTTACGTCCCCTCTCTATTCCCTATCGCTTCCTCCGTTCGACTGCAAGGCTCCATTGAAATAAAGTGACATGGTTGTGAGGCAGTGGAACGCCAGTGTTCTCATCTAGTGTTGTTGTCAATAATAATAATAATGATGATGATAATAATAATAATGATGGCAATGATGATGATGTTGATGATGATGATATGTGTGATGATGAGGATGATGATGACGATACTGATGAGTATGTTGACGATGATGATGATAATGTTCAGGATGAGGTTTATGATGAGGATGCGGTTGATGATGATCATGATCATGATCATGATGTAGCTGGAGTTGAATGTGATGATGATGACTGATGATAATGATGTTGATGAAGACGATGTTAATGATGATGA